CTCGGTTCTGCGGGGGTGCAGCTCCGTTCCGCTCGGCTCCGTTTCCTTGGGGTCCCCCTGGCACAGCAGCTTCCTAGCGCATCCCTCCTCCGAATGCAGACTGGGATGAGGCCGCCTCTCCCAGTCCCCAAGGCAAAGCGTCTCATCCGCATCCCGGGGACCGTCCCCATCATCCCGGTGACAGGGATGTGGGGCCGCTGCCCTGGCCCTCACCCTGGTAGTGACTCTCGCCGTTGGCCCCGGGCGCGCTGGCTCCAGCAGCCGGGATGGGATTCCCCGATCCCTGCCTTCCAGCAGCGCCCGGCTCTCTCCGAGGTTTCCTTCCCTGCTCTTCGCGCTCCCTGCAGCCCTGTGCCAGGTCACCACGCGGCCCAGGATCCCCATCCCACGGTGTTCCCCAGCCCTCCTGCCTCCGGGGCTGCTTCCCAGATCCTGGCTTTCCCAGCTGAGGCCGGAGCCTCTCTCCCAGCTTCGCTCCTGCGTGGGATGCAGATTCCCATGGTTTTAGCATCTCTCCCACGCAGCCGGTTCCCTTCCTGGGCAGCAGACCCTGGGAAGGGCTCGGTTTTTCCCAGGCACAGCTGCCCGGTCCCAGGCAGGCTCCTCCTGGGATGCAGGACCAGCTTAGCTCCCACGCCAGGATGCTGCAGGGAATAGAAATCTCTTCCTTGGGAACCTCCTTCACCCCTGCTGTCCATGAGTCCCTGCTGTCCATGCATCCTCAAGGAGCAAGCATGGGAAAAGCTCCCTGTCCATGCATCCCAGCTTCCATGCATCCCCAGGGAGTGAGCATGGGGAAGGACAACCGCTGTCCATGCATCCCTGCTATCCCTGTGTCTCCCCCTTGTTGCAGTGACATTTGCAAACCCGAGGGATCCCATTGGCAGGAGCTGTTGCTCTGAGGGCTGTTTTGCCTCCCACCCTCCTCTTCCCTGGCTCTCCCGGTGCTGCTTCAGCGCGCGCCCGCGGAGCAGCTCGCTGAGACATCCTGAAAGCCGTAACCGGATTTTGCAGACGGGGCATAAAATACCTAGAGCATAATGCATATTAAAACTCATTAGATTAAGCCAATTTGCAGACACGCAGTGTCAGCCGAGCGATGCCAAATCACCTTTCTCACGGGGCTTATGTGCCACGGGCTGCCCTGGGGAGGACAGGGGCACCCCTGGCCCTGCGGGCTTCCCCCAGCAAAACCTCCCCAAACGCTGCTCTTCGTCATGAGGCAGCTTGGCTAAATCGGAGGGGTTAAATAAAATAGTGCTTTGGGGATGCAGGGCATGTTGCAGCATCCAGCTTGGGTGGGTGCAGAAAATTTGTGTAGGGGCAGCCCAGAGGGTTCCTGGCCCAAGCAGGTGGCTGCAAGGCCAGTGTTAGTGACCTGGTCACCATCCCCTTCCCCTTCACTAAGTGCTAAAACCACCGGGAAATCTCCTGCAGAATATTTAAACGGCGGCTCCTCCCTGTGAGCGGGAAAGGCGGCCGCCTAATTTCCAGCTAAATCCCTCCATCGATTGCAGCGAGGAGGAAGATTTACAAACCTTGCAGCACGTTCGTAAATCCTGTGGGGGGAAAATTAAACCCAAAAACATCTATTGGCAGATGGGCAAATGCTGCGGAATGGCCCGGCTTGCCCGGGTGAGGGTCCCCGGTGCGTCCCCCTGCCCGGGGCTGCCGTGGGGCCCGACGCAGGCGGCTCCGTGCGCGACGTGGGCACGGGCAGAGCAGCCCAGGTTGCTGCCTTCGCTCCCTGCGGTCGTGGTACCTAAACGCAGTCAAGAGCAGCTCCATTTCTGGCCTGGTTGGAGAAGGAGCCACCGAAGCGAGGCAGGAGCAAGGCACAAGCTGGAGCCTGCGCCCCGGGCACTGGGTATTGCACCCCAGGCAATGCACACGGTGCCCGGGATGTTGCACGTGATGCACGGAATATCGCTCACCGTGTCCTGCACCCCGTGCGCTGGATCTTGCACAGCGTTCCACGGATCCAGGACACCGTGTCCCACTCTCCGGTGTCTCCCACGCGGATCACCTGGCCCCGTTTCGGACATTAGACTCCATCCTGTCCTTGTGTATTTTAAAGACCTATTCTTCCCCTGTCTCTCCGATAAGAAATGCTAATGATGTGATGAAATTGGATAGTTCGGTCGCCTTCTCCTGCTAATGGAGCCCTTGTGCTCGTTAATTTGCTGTTTTTAATGGGCTGATTGTTCGCTGGGCTGGGGGAGCCACGTGAGCCCGTCAGCATGCGCTGCTCGCGGGCGAGGAGGTGCTTGAAGGCAACTGAACCCTGTGCCCAGTAATTGCCAAGCAATTTGGAGACACGGCTCAAATGTATAATTTATCGGCGCTCCGTTCATCCGGGTCAGCCATCGGCACCGCGCGGAGGAGCCGGGCACGGAGCGGATTGAGGGTCCCCCTGCCCTGGCTCTGAGAGAAGACCTGGAGTGGGGCTGAATCCGGGTCCCCACTGCGGAACAGGGATTCCCGGGTGAGCGGAGGTAGGAAGGAGCCAGCGGAGATGCAAAGGAGCGAGCGGGGCCAGGCGTCGCTGCAAGAGCCCAAGGGGCTCAATCCAGCAGTGCAGATCCCTGGCTCCGTCCCCTGGACGGCTGCTGGGTCCGGCAGGAGCGCCGGGCACACAGGGAATGCTCCAGGGAAGGAGTTTTCTGCAGGAAGGTTGCAGGACGAGCAGCAGCCCTGGACTCCATCCGGAGCCGCTGCACGTCGGCCTGGGCATCCCGGCGGTGCAGGAACAGGCTCCGAGCATCTCATTCCCTCCGGGCAGCTGGCACCGCGCCGGGACATCCCACTGGGATCAGTGCATCCTGACAGGGATTGGTGCATCCCGACAGGGATTGGTGCATCCCACCGGAGCAGCGTCTGGGAGGAGGTCCCAGTGCAGCCACCCCGGGAAGCTGAGCTAAAATATTGATGTATAATTTGTGCCATATGTTCTGCCAATATTTTTTATTTAATCAGCTGAAGGCAGATGGTGGAGACGTTGAGGCCGTTAAGCTAATGACGCTCTGGCTTTCCCTTTATTTTTGTTTCCTGACCTAAAACAAGAGGAGTCAGGGGCAGGTGACATGTCCTGGCTGCAGCCATCCCCTCCCATTCCCTCCCATCC